ATTGTTTTTATTAAATTGTTGAATATAGTATATTATAGTTAATTATAGTTGGTCTAGTTATTTTTTGTGTTATATTTTTAGAAAAATGTTAAATAAAAAAATCAACTATATTTTTATAAATAACAAATATACAATTTATACAATAAAAATTACTTCGAAATTAATATTTAATTATCAAAGTTTTCTTCAAAAAAGTGTATCTTGCAACGAATTTTGTTGTTTGTGGAATGCGAACTTCCTTAAGACTGATACACCCATCAAAACACAACAATCCAATTGAAGTAACACTTCGTGGTATTAAAATGTTTGAAAGTGACTTGCATAATTGAAAAGCTGTTTCTCCAATTTCAGTCACACCTTCTTGCATATTCAATTCTTTCAAACTATCACAATTAGAAAAGCATCCATTTCCAATATAACCTTTCCATTCACAAACATTAAATTTCGTCAATTTTATACATCTTGAGAACGCGAATTCTTCAAGTGTTTCAATTGATCCTAAAAAATTGATTTCAACGAGATTTGCACAACCTGCAAATGCGTGGCTTTCGACTTTTCTAACACTTTTTGGCAATTCAATTTTTGTGAGTGAAATGCAGTTGCCAAAAGTGAACGGCTCAATCACTTCTATTGTATTTGGTATATTAATTTCTTTAAGTCCACAACATTTATTAAATGAAAATTCGCCAATATGGAAAATGTCGCTTTCAAAATTAATTTTCGAGCATTGTTTTACATTTTCAAAAGTGTGACTTTCAATAGTTAAAACAGTACTTGGAATATCTAAACAAACATTTTTTGATACTTCAAATGTTTTCATCTCATCACTGTGCACCTTAAATTTATCATTTATAACAAAAGAAAAGAGACTTTGCGCGAAGACATAAACGTGATTTTCTATGACAGCGAGTGGACTTTGGAAATTGACTGTCATTAGTCTTCTGTTGTTAAATGTGTTGACATCATCAATCACTTCTTCATTTAATTTGTCATTAAAAGCGTAATCTTCAATGTGTTTTACGCTATTTGGAATATCAATTTTTGATAGACCCTGACACATAGAAAAGCAATATTGGTCTATTCGATCTAATTTTTTTGAAAGGGTAATTTTAGTGAGTGACTTGCACCCACTAATACATAACCCTCCAAGTGATGTGATGTTATCTGGTAATGTAATTTCAGTTAAGAAATCACACGAACAAAAGCAATTGGAATCAAGAGAATTGATTTTTGTCAATATTAAATTGATATCTTTTAAAAGTTGATTTCTCAGTATTTCAGTTTCTAATTTTCGATTTGAAATACTTAAAACGTCATTTTGAGTTAATTTGATCTTTTTATACACAACAAGACCATTTAAAGTGTTTAGAGATGTGTTGTATGAAACGGTGAACCAGACAACTATTTTAAAAAAGTCGATTTTCTTGTTGGTATATGACCTTTTGCAAATGGGAATTTGGTTGCCAAAAGTTTCATCAGAAGGACACCAAATGTTAAGAGTTTCAATTTTTTCAAAATAATTAATTGTGTTGAAACCAAGAGGTATTGGATTGGTGTGATACTTCATAAGTGTATCTCTAAATTTTTTACATACCAAAACATAGCTGAAAAAATCACGACGTGTTTGAAAATATTTTGAAACAACCATCGCATGATACCCATCTAAACGTATTTTCATTTTTGTCATTTTGATTTTTTAATTTAATTTTGAAAAGACTCAAACTACTTTTAGTTGTTTTATTGTTTTTCTTGTGTTTTTATCTAATTCAGCAAATAGCTTTCTAATCAGGGTGTCCAGAACTGAAAAACATAGCGAATTTTTCGATCTGAAACATATAACAATAAAAATATGAGACATTATTCACTCTTTATTACCAAAAATATAAATATAAATGAAAATTTATTATTTTTATTATCATTATTTTATTAATATATAAAAAACATAAAAATAATTAATGTTTATATACTTTTATAATAAATAAATTATTATTTAACAATATTTTTTATTAATGGTTAGGGTAAAATGAATAAACAAAAAGCTTTTTATTTTAAACTACAAATTCATGTCTCTTGATCAGATCGACACACATCGTAAAAGAAAAAATACATGCGTAACAAATAAATTGTTGATCCCAGTTTATTTCAATAATGGTCATCATTGTTATTACTGTTGGTTTTGCCAGCGTATTTTTAGTGAAACACAATCTCGACTACATTATAAAAGTTTCCACAAACATTACTGTGGGGGATCCAACCAATATTACGTAAACGAAAAAACAAAGAATAATTTTATCAAACAGTATTACACATGTCCCAAAGATTATGATAATGTCGCCGAAGAGGTTGCAAACAAAGGTAATTTTCAACAAAGATGTGTTTTTGTAAAAAAATGGCTGCAGTGAAATATTTGAAAAAGATTTTGGTAAAAGGAAAAAAGACCCTGCATTTTATAAACACACAAAGACTCAGAACATTGATCTAATTTTTTGTGATAACTTGGGAACACAACATCCAGAATATCATGAAAATGGGTGTAAAATATTCGAAGAATGTCCGACAGAAATTGTTCAAAACAAAAAAGTAATAGAGACTGAAATGAAATTTGATTATTATATTAACGATGATGACATTGATTCGTTAATTTTAATATTAAAACAAACACGTGACTGGTCTTTAACCGCCAATTTGTTGCGAGAAATAGCAACATCAAAAACAAAAGACAAATCAAACGAAGTGACAAAACAATCACAATTATTTTCACTATTTGTTAGAAGATTGCTAATTGTTGAGTGTTTTTCAAAGAAACAATGTGAGTTTATAAAGGGAATGATTGAATTATTTGGAAAAACATTTTTTGGTGAAAATGTTTTTGAACAGATAAAAGTCAAAATAAGTTATTCAAGTTGTGTGGAACTATCTTTAAAATATCAAGATAGAGATATAAAAGAAACTAAAAAATGTTTTAGTGATTGTGTGTGTTATGGTTGCATTTTGGACTCAACCAGAAAAGGTGGTGATGAAATATTTTGTATGATATGTCGTTTCGTTTTCTCTGATTTTACTATAATTCAAAAGAAAGTCAAACTTGGTATTTTTTCGTGGTTCAACAAACGCGGTAAATACGTTTGAATTGATTAAAAATGTGATAGAAACGGAATATCTCGGGGTGTTATCAAAATGTGTTGCTTTTGTTTCTGATGGTGCGATAGTTTTGACAAGTATGCAAGAAGGAGTTGCTGGCTATCTGAGCCGTTATATATCAAGCATAAAAGTTGAATCTAAATTTCCAATTGTTGCCAATTTTTTCTCTCATAATTATTGTCTGTGTCATAGATTAAATGTAGCCGAGAAATGGATGTGGATAAATCAAAAAGATGCATCAATAATTTTGGAAATATTGAAATGGATAACAAATGAAAGTGTAATTACTAAATGGAACGACTATTCTTATGAACATTCTGTAAACGTAAAATTACCAAAACTTTCAAATACCCGTTGGGAGTATCATTCACTCATTTCTTCCGCTATTTCAAACAACTACGAACTCTTTATTTCTTTTTTGTTATCCAAAAATGTTTTCCATTTGTTTGAAAAAAAGTTCTCAAACCTCTCAATCTGTGGTGTTGATATTTCTAGTAAAAATGGGATTCAAAGTTGGAAAGTGAAAGCGATTTTCGAGTTCATAAACTTTTTAATTAATAACACAAAAGATTTGAGTACTATGATGCAAACAACATTTGGTGTTTTTACTCAAGAGTATAAAAGAGTGGAGTTGTTTGTTGAAATACTTTTTGAAGTACGTAGAGAAATCAGTTTATATGATTATTCTTTCAATGATAAATTGACGGCGATTTTAGATACTAAAAATAAACACACTTTATTTGAAGTCAATCAAACTCTTTTACAAATTATTAACGGTTTTATTATAGCCCTTCAAGAACGGTTTTCAATCGCAAACTGCACATCAAAAGATATTCCGGAAGAAAAAAAGATTGGCGAAAATTTACATTTATATGATAAAAATAAGTTTGAAGAGTTATTAAATATATTTTATTTTCCGGATTTGTATTTAAGAGGAAACCCAATAACAATTCAAGATTGGCTGTGTGATTTTGCAAATGAATCAGTAAATATAATGAATTTGATCAACAACTATAAAAAGTTTTGGATATCTCTCAACAAAAGTTTGTTTGTTATTCGTCTTTTTGGATTAAGTAATAATAATATAGAAATCACATTGATGGATATTATTGAAAAGTACAAAAAAGAAAATCTATTTGCTGCACAACAAATATGCTATATAATATGTTGTCTGATACCAACCTCGTGCGCTGTTGAATCTTTTTTTCATATCTCGGATATTTAAAAAAGACAAACATGAAAATTGAAATAACTGATGCTCGTCTTACAACAAAAATGGATTTTTTATCAACAAAACGCATTAATGCTTTCGATTTGTTTTAGTTAATTTTTTGTTTATTTATGTTTTGATTTAAAAAGTTGGTGTAGTTTTGTTTACAAAAATTAAGACTAATAATAAAAACATTATTTAATGTTATTCATAACTTGTTATACTTGTTTAAAATGCCTTATTCTTTTTGGTTTTTTGAAACCTTCGCTAAGTCCAATTCTGGACACCCTGTTCTAATTACAATACAACAAAAACAATATTTCTACATGGTTAGTGGAAAAATCAGCTTGATATAATATATTTTATGATAAATACCAATGTATTAATGGTTTCTATTATTATTACTATTAAAATTCTTATTAATATTAAGCTGAACAAGAATTCAATAAAAGATACATCTTTTTTAAATCAAATCCCAATTTGTAATATAATGAGTGTAAGTTACAACCCAATTCGTTCTTTGTTTGTTTCCATTTTAACCTTCACACTAAACGTTTTACTTATTTAAAATGAATAAAATGACGAATTGCTTTAACAATTAACTCATTTTATAGGTCGATCGTACATTTTGAGTGTTAGAATTTGTTTCTATAAATCCAATACTTTGAAATGCTGCATCAAAGTTTTATTATTGTTGAATTGTATAGTTCGGTTATAATTTACCATATGATAATTTTGATAATAATCAATCGTGTGTTTTCATGTGTACTAAATCATCATTATTAATTCCAAAACAAACGAAAAATGGTTGTAATTGGTTCATGTGTAAAAGTAACACAAGAACAACAATAAAACTTTTTTTAAAAAAATAATTATAATTTTGTTTTTTGATTAAAACAAAACGTTTTTATAATATAACAAAAATATTATATTTTACTATAAATTGTAGGCCAGCATTTTATTTCTAATTGTTTTTCAACATTTTTAAATTTTAATTATGAAAACTCCAAAAATACAAACTTCAATTTGTTTTTCATGAGTTACTCTTCATTACAAACAAGTTCAATACCACAACAAAAACAAATCAGAATGTCACCAATTCGTATAGTGATGTTGGGTTGTATGGGTGTTGGGAAGTCGACAATTATAGTGCAACTCGTTATAAACCGTTTTCTTGAATTATATGATCCAACAATTGAAGATACATATAGAACACGCATCTCAATTGATCGTGAGGCAGTACTAATTGAAGTGGTTGACACAGTATCAGCATATGAGTATCCAGGATGTTATGACAAATACATTAAATCCAGTGATGGATTTGTCATTGTTTACTCAATCACTTCATACTCATCATTTGTGGATGCAGATTTTTATAGAAAAGAAGTGTACAACGCGTTTGATGGAAACTTCAGTAAACACATTCCAATTGTGTTGTGTGGGAACAAGTGCGATTTGGAATTTGAAAGACAGGTGTGCACAATATATGCTAAAAACGTTGTTGATGAATGGAAAATATTGTTTTATGAAACTTCAGCAAAGAACAATACAAACATTACAGAAATGTTTCAAGTTTTGGTTGAAGACATTAAAGAAAAAAAACAATACTAAAGTTGTTTCAGTCGATAACATCACATCTCAAAAAAGCAACTGTGGAGTAAGAAAAAAGTGCTATTTATTTTAATTTATTTACAGTCAAAGGCGTTTATTTGTCGGTTTTACGACACAAAAACGAGCTTATTTGTCGGTTTTTATAGAATTTTGTGGAACATTCCATTAAAAAATATTGGTTGTTTAAAAATATTTTTTTTTGGTTTTTAAATATTGATTATATAATAAGTGAAATAAAAATGATAAAATTGTTTTCTTTTACCAATTATTATCAATCATAAAACAAATTTTTGACATAAATTACCATATATAAAATAGTGCCGTTTTACTGAAAAGATTTATGTAAAAAAATGTTTATATTAAACTGATACATACCATCTTGTAAATTGTAATGTCTATTAACGATAAAAAACCCAGAAAGGTTTACCAAAATATCACACCAGAAGCACATGCCACAATAAAGAAACTTTATTCGAAATATAGTGGCCTCGAAAAGAAGAATTTTTGGTGTAAGGTGAGAGATGAATTCTCAACTTTATACCCCACGTACAACTTTAGTTTGGATCAATTGCAGGCTTATCAAAAACGTGAAATAAAAGAAACGAAGCATCAAAGAACGTCACACAATGCCGAAGTTGTTTTGCATTTGGAACGATATGTAAACACTTCAGTTCTTGCGGGAAACTATTTGGATGATTATGTACTCCAAATTGAAGTTGCCAAATACATCGAAAACATAGAATTTACAATTAAAGACATAAAGTCGACCAGAAAAGTGTCGTAAACCAGAAAACACTCGTACACTTCCTAAAATAGAATTTATTTTTTTTTTAAAAAAAATAATTTTACTCAAAGAAATTTCATTTTTCACTTTGATTTTATAAACTGATTCTTTTTTGATCTTTTTTCTTCCAAATGAAGCTTTAAACCGTTCTTGAAGTATTTTTTGTTCTTTTTCACGAAATAAAATACATTGAAATTTTATATGTTGTTAAGATTATCATTTTTTATAAATAGTTTTTTGTTATTATGTAATTATTGTTATTGGCAAGTATAGTTCGGTATAGTTTGAATAGTTTATAACAATGTCTAATATTTTTCGAAATGTGTTTTTTGAACAAAGTTCATAAAAATAGAACACCATTGATACCATCATATCTACTCAACTCAACGTTTATATTGTTGAGTTGAACAATGGGGACTCATCAAGAAACAAGTGTTTAGCATCACTAATGTGGCACTTAATTATTTAAACCACATAATCAAAATTTTGAGGTATGAACTTGTTATTTTTTTCAAAGTTCGTTTTTTGATGTTTTTATAGAAAAAAAAATAATATGAAATTATTTCAATATCAACACATACAAAAAACTGT